AGGTAGGCTGTGAAAAGTTAAAGATGTGCACTATAAACACTAAAGCAACCACTGAAAAAACACAGCAAAGAGTGATAGCTAACCTTCATGATAAAAACACTCAACAGACTAGGGGGAAAAAGGGAACTTCCTCAACCTGATAAAGGGCATTTATAAAATGCCAAAACTAACATTGTACTTAATGGACAAAGGCTGAATGCTGTCTCTCTGAGGTCAAGAACAAGACAAGGATGTCTGCTTTCACCACTTCTATTAGACATTATACTGGAGCTTCTAGCCAGGGAAGTTAGGCAAGAAAATAAAATAAAAGGCATCCTGATTGAAAAAGAAGCAAAAGCACGTCTATTTGCAAATGATAAGATCTTGTATATAGAAAAGCATAAGAAATCCACTGGAAAAAACTGTTAGAACTAATAAGTGTGTTCAGCAGTGCTCCAGGATACAAGATCAATATACAAAAATCAATTGTATTTCTAAACATTAACAATGAGCACACTGAAAATTAAATTAAGAAAATTTCACTTACAATACTTAGGAATAAATTTAACAAAAGACATACAAAGCTTTTGCTCTGAGAACTACAAAACATCGATGGAAGCAATTAAAGAAGCATTAAATTTTGTTACTGAGCACCAAGCTTGGAGGCCTCAACACTTCTTGAATTTAAAAACTTACTAGAAAACTATGTTAATCAAGACAGTGTGGTGCTGGCATAAGGATAAGCATATAGCTAAACGGGATAGAATTGAGAGTCCAGAAATAAACCCTTACATTTATGAACCATTGACTTTGACCAGTGTATCAAGACAATTCAATGGAGAGAAAAATACCCTTTTCAACAAGTGGCTCTGGGAAAACTGGATAGCCACATGCAAAAGAATGAAAGTGGATTCCTACCTACATCACACTATAATGTTAATACAAAAATTAACTCCAAATGTTCAAAGATCTAAATGTAAAGTTAAAACTATGTAACTCTTAGAAAAAAGCATAGAGTGAAAATCTTCATGATATTTAATTCAGCAATGATTTCTTGGATATGACACCAAAAGCATAGGTATCAAAAGAAAAAATAGATAAATGGGACTACATCAAATCTAAAATGTTTTAAAATCAAGGACACTGCCAACAAAGTGAAAAAGCAACCCATGGGACGGGAGAAAATATTTACAAACATGATAGGAGATTAATATCCAAAATATACGTATCAAGAAGTACAACTCAACAACAACAAATAACACAATTCAAAAATGTGCAAAATTCTTGAATAGACATTTCTCCAAGGAACATATACAAATAGCCTATAAGCACATAAAAAGATGCTCAACATCACTAGTCATTAGAGATACCACTTCATATTAATTAGGATAGCCAGGAAGGAAGGAAGGAAGAGAGGGAAGAAGGAAGGAAGGAAGGAAGGAAGGAAGGAAGGAAGGAAGGAAAGGAAGGAAGGAAGGAAAAAGGAAAAGGAACAAATGTTGGCAAGGATGTAAAGAAATTGGAAGCCTTGTGCATTGCTGGTAGGCATGTAAAATGGTAAGCTACTTGAAAAGTTTTAAAGGTTCTTCAAAAAGTTAAACATAGAATTACCATATCATTCAGCAATTACATTTCTAGGTATATATTCAAAAGAATTGAAAGCAGGAACTCAAACAGGTAACTTGTACACGAATGTTTATTGTAACATTATTGGCAATTGGTAAAAAGTGAAAACAATCAAATATCCATCAACAGATAAAAAGATAGACAAGATGTGGTATATATATATATACCATATATATATATATATATATATATACACACAAGGGAATATTATTCATCCTTAAAATAAAATGCAATTCTGACACATACTACAACATGGATGAACTTTAAAAACATTATACTAAGTGAAATAAGCTAGACACAAAAGGGAAAATACTGTATGCTTCCACTTACAAGAAGTACCTAAAGTAGTCAAATTGATAGACACAGAAAGTATAAAATGGGGGTTACCAGGGACTGGGGTGGAAAAATTGGGAACTTGGGTTTAATGGGTACAGAGTTGCTTTTTGGGATAATGAAAAACTTTGGGAAATGGGTAGTGATGATGGCTATACAACATTATGGATATACTTAATGCCACTGAATCTTATACTTAAAAAGGTTAAGGGCCAGCCTAGTGGCTCGATGGTTAAGAACTGGCTTGGGACGCCAGAGGGCCCCGGTTCGGATTCCACATATGAGGGCCAGTGACACTGCCCTCTACAGCTAAGATGAACAGTGGCTCGACCTGGAGCTGGGCTGCCATGGGTCCACCGGGGAGGCCATAGGCTGCAGCCCCTGCTGCAGTGGGCTGCCATAAGCTACCGTGTATGGCCGGCAGCCAGCTAAGCGGCCAGCAGCTGGTGTGAGATGCGAAGAGCCGCCGTGAGCGGCCAACCAGAAGCCAGCGACCGATCTGCCTCACCCGGGAAGAGCGCAAATGATAATACCAACATCGGCCAGTGAAGCGACGTCCTCCACAACTAGACTGAAGAACAAAATGACTGCAACTTGTCTGTTCCCCTTTCCCCGATTCCCCAGCGCTGTTCCCCTCCTTCAATTCCCCAATAAAATCTTTAAAAAAAATTGTTTAAAATAGTGAATTTTGTGTTATCTATATTTTACCACAATAAATATAAAGTAGTTAGACCTCCAGTTCCCCTGTTCTGAGCAGCTAGGCAGATGCTCCCCACCCCAGAGGATGACTACAGGTAATTCTCTGGAGGAAGTCCAAGAGGCTCTCTAGACTGGAAGGTACAAAGCCTAACTGAGGGCAAGACCACCATACTGAGCAGGAGAATTTCATGAATATTTACATACTTCATGGTGACTCGTCAGTTCTCTTGTCACACTCACTCACTTCCCAGGGTGCTGGCCCCAGACTGAAGCCCTCCAGGGGAGGACTGAGTCACCCCATGGAGAATCAGAACAGCTGGAGAGATAAGATCTTAAAATACTGACATCAGGCATTCCCCAACTAAACATCCCAGACAGATCACCCATCGGTGAAACCTCCAGTGAATAAGTGCCACCTATATGCACAGATTCATATTCTTCAGCACTAGATAGGGCAAGACAGTCAAGGGTCACCTGAAGACTGAGGGACGCTATTAAGACAGAAACTAAGACAAACAGGAACAGGTAAGTTGAAGGAAGCAGCAATTATACAAGGCAAAAACAAAGCTGGAAATGAAGTATGTCATTAATATTCTCAGAGAGATAAGATATTGCATCCATGACATAAGGCCAAGGTGTTACATAAAAAAGAATATTCAGAGAGCTCTGAGAAGTTAAAAGCATGATAGCAGAAATGAAAAACAGAATGTTTAGAACATAATATTGAGGCAACCTCCCAGAAAATAGTGCAAAAATACAGATATAAAACAGGAAAAATAGGTCACAAAATCAGAGGAGAAATCAGGATAGCTAACATGCAAATAACAGTAATCCCAGGGAGAACAGAGAAAACAAATAAATCGCAATGTAATAACTCAAGAAAAAGTTTCTAAAATGAAGGACATAAGTTTCTAGGTTGAAATTATCTGCTGACTGCCCAGCAAAATGGTTGAAAATTTGACTCATATCAAGGTGTATCCTCATGAAATTTCAGAGCAATGAGGGCAAAGAAAAGACCCTCCAAGTTTTTAGAAAGAAAAAATAGGTCCTATACAAGGGGTCAGGAAAAGAATGGCATCAGAATTCTATGGCAACAGTGGATTCCAGAAGACAATGGTGCAATGACTTTAGAATTCTGAGGAAAATTTACTTCCAATCTAGAGTTCTTTATCCAGTCCACCACTTTAGTAGAGAGTAAAATAAAAACACTTGCAAACCTGTAAGGACTTGGACATTTCATCTCCCATAGACCATTTCTCAAAGAACTACTGGAGATATGCTCCACCAAACAAGTGAGTAAACTAATAAAGAAAACGATGGGATCCACAAATAAGAGATCCAACGCAAGAGAGAGGCATGATGGTGAAGGGAAATCCTTAGACAACAGCTGTGCTGTCACAGGTCTAGGGAGCATCGTCCAGGCTGGAGCAGATCACAAGTCTTTCTGGAAGGGACTTTATAGAAAAGATGAAATTGATAGAATTCCTCATGTATTTGAACATATTAAGAGATTTACACAAGGACAAACTTTGGGAATTAATTCATGATAAAGACATTAAAAATCAAGCAAAATTTTTAAAAAGGCAATTATTAAATCTAGTGATTAAAAGGTGCAGGAAGGGAAAAATTATCATAGGCCATTTACACAGTGCAGCTGTGTCTAGAGTTTACATAGTCTTAGTAATGTAAATGCTGCAGCCAAAATTTCAGCTTATCTATACTAGGAGTTTGAGGGGGGACCATAAATACATGGAGGTGGTGAGCATGAAAGAGAGCTAAATTCTCATCTTCCATAGTAGAAGATGAACATGATACCCCAAATTGAAAAAAAACAACATAAAAACAGCAAAATAAGCATTTAGTTATATGGTTGTAAATAGTAAATTATCAGCCACAGAGATGAAAGTGGTTGCCTCTGGGATGAAATGGAGGCAGGCGAGCCTTGGAGAACTATTTAACCCTGTAAAAATAATGCACGTTTAGCTTTCATAAAATTAACACAACATAATTCACTTTTTTTAAATGGCTGCAAAAACAAAACAAACGCAACCTCATGGTCCAAATAAAACTCTGTATTTTCCTATTTGCTATTCTAATCAAATTATTCTGAATTATATTTCCTCATCTGTAAAATTACTTATTATATGGATTGAAATATATTGTAAATACAAGTGCTTGGAAACTGCAATGATTGTTTAATAATAATGATAACAATAATACAAACTTAGAATCCAAAAGCTAGGAATCCTCAGCATTCATTTGTTTGATCACGTTGTGTGTATAGCAGGGAACAGGAAGAGACAAGCATAACACTGCATGAATGAAACCAGCGATCTTACTTACCTTGAACTCATCCGTTCAGTACCTGCTTCCGCCCCTACGTGTTCCAGGTGGCGATCTATTCTCTGGGCTTTGATGCCAGACTTTGAATTCAGATTCCAGCTGTGCCACTTTCTACCTGTACAGCTTGAGGCGATTTCCTTAGCTTTTCTGAATCTCAGTTCAATCGTAAAGCCTCTCTTGCGAAATTTGTTTGAGGAAAGATTAACGACAAATCCGTTGCTTTGGTCAGTGACTAATTGCCACTCCCTAACTTCAGCTCCTTCTTGTGCTCCAGGGATGCCTGAGGCCTAGGAGAAGTCCGTTGAGAGCGTCTGAGGGCGGGAGGATCCGCAGTCACCATGGCAACCGGAGACGCCTGGCGTTCTCCAGCCGCCTGCAGAGGAGCTGAGTAGGCCAGCCGCTAAGACCTCCGCAGCATGAGTGGGGAGGAGGCGTTGGTGACTACGGTGACGGCGCCCGAGGCGAGCCGCGATGGGGAGCAGCTGGCCGGTTGGGGATGCTGGACACGCGGGGAGCACGGCATCGATGGCCCACAGGAGTCCCGCAAACAGTGTGAGTTTCTCTCCAGCTGCGGACCCTGCGCGTGTAGGGATGTACGGTGTGCAGAACAGGGTTCGTGAAAACGGAATTGGGGAGAACCGGTGAGAGGGAAACTGGGGGGAACCAGGGTGAGACTGGCTGAAGCCGTGAAGGTTTTGGAGGCAGAGGGTGGAGCTGCTGTTTCGGCAAAGGCAGAAGTGAAGGCACTGTGGTAGGTAACATCCTGTCCATTTCCCCAAGCCCTCCTTCACAAAAGGCTACCTGAGTCCAAGTAGCCTCTGACTTAATTAGTAGTGGCATTGGCCTGAAAGGTATTGAAAAAAAATTGAACATATGTCTATATAAAAATTTATAAAAGTATAAATGATAAAAAATGTTATATATAATATAAATTTAAAATCTACATATAAAATATGAAATTTATAGTATATGCAAATTTTATATGCACGGAAACGTGGATCATTTTTGCCAATTCCTTCATTTTACAGACGAGGAAACTGAAGTCTAGACTGGAAAAAAAGAAGTGACTTGCCCACTGTCACTCAGTCTGTGCTGGAGAAATACTTAAAACACTTAAACTCCCATCTCCTGGGCTCTCAGTCCATAAATTATTACCTGATCCATTTAGAATTTCGCAATTATGGGCCACATTTTAACACTGCTGTTTCCTCCCTGCCCTGCCAAACACACAAACAATATTCAAATAAGTAAAGGCAGTTCTGGTCGCATTGTGCATCCATATTGACCCATGAATTTACAGATATCACAGCCCCTGGGTGCCCCCCTGGTCTCCAGTAGGTGCTAAGGAATGATGATGGTGGAAATAATAGGCAAAAGAGGAGCAGGAGCAGTTTCCAGCCTTTCTGCAGAGCCTCCTTGATTGCCTCTCTAGAGAGCAGTCTAGGTTCTGGAAGCTCCCTTGGTGCTCCCGCCGCCCCAGGTGGGGGGCGGGGTTGGACTGAAGCGGCCCAGCTCTGGTGCCTCAGGGGACCACTTCAAGTGAAAGGGCCTCTTCCTTCAGCATCAGCCCTAAGATGATTGCTTATGATACCTCATTCCTTTTATTATTATCAACAGCATGCAGCGGCCTTACTTAAAGCAACTAAATTCATTATATTTAAGTATTCAGTATAATTCAGTAATTCCTTATTCCGACTTAAAGCTCCATCTGGGACTTTTCCCATTGAAGATGCTGGAATTTAAAGGTCCTTTCTTAATGTGGCTGTAAGAGTAAAAGGTAGAATTAATAAAAGGTGAATGATTAGTAAGATGAGTCCTGACTGCTGCCAGGCATTGGGCAAGTGGCAGGGAAATGAGTCATGAATTAAGGCAGGGGACCAAACATTCTTGAGTTCACAAAGTCAGGGTTATCTAAAGAATTCCTCCCTCAGCCTCCCTGAAAACCTCCTTTTAGGGGGCCTCAGCCTAAGTAGAGACAGGCTGTTCACACCCAAATTACCCATTCAATTTTAAAATGTTTTTTGGAAAATTCTTCAGTCTCTCTTTTTGGGAAAGGTCTTCAGTCTCTCTACAGCTTCTACTCCCTAATCACAGATCTGTTCTCAAATAAACACAGGTAAAGTGTGGTTCTGTCCCACTGAAATTATATAATTTCAACCTTGAACTATATAAAGGTGGCTTTTTGAGCACCGACCAAATCTTTCATAGACTTCAGTGTTACCTTTAAAATAATTCATAGCACTCTCACCAAATTGGCTGACCTCTTCCAAGGTTCTCCAGTTTATTAAATCACTGAATCCAGTATTCTAGGTATGACCAGATTAGAATAGTGTGATGGGACTATAACCTCCTTTGATCTGAATATCATACTTCTATTAAATGGATCACTAATTACATTAGATGTGTTGGCAGACACTTAATATATTATTAACATATACAACAAATGAAGTCTACGACATTCTTAGTTTCTCTTTCCCCCTTTGTTCAATTGAAACTATTTGAACCAGCCTTTTCTATCCTATACTTGTGCATTTGTTTGATCCTAAATACAAGTCATTATATTTATCCCCATCAATAACATCCTATGGATTTTAGCACTTCATTCCAAGTGTAGAAGTAGCCTTGTGAGTCCTGAGTTTGCCATTCACCAAGTGTGTACCATTCTTAACATTTAAGGAGTTTGCTGGCAGTTCCAATGTCCAAATTAGCAAATTAGATGATGATCCCAACAGTTCTAAGTAAAGTCTCTAGATGTGTCAATCAGCATCTTTGGCATAGGCATTCTACCTCCTACAAATACACTTTTTCAAATATCTTGTTGAAATGCAGATACTTCTGGCTACATCTCTCTAGCGATTAGCTTGGGTGTGGGAGAGTCAGGTAGGATAGGCTTTTAATTTTTATGATGAGTTTTGTGACTTCTGGGAATTACTTTTTCACCTATGAAAATGAGACTAATTATACCTACCCATAGGGTGATTGTGAGAGAGATAACATATGTAAGATGCCTAGGGCATGGTAGCACTCAATAAATTGTAGCAATTATAAGCTCTTAACAAAAGAAAGCAGTTTAGTCTGGAATAATGTTTTTAGCAGTGCTTAATTTAGTGATCACAGCTCCTAATCATCTGTACTCACAATTAATCTGTTGACCAACCCATTCAAAATGTTGGTGACGATCAACATTAAGCTGCTATGTTAGAGTTTATAAAATGTTTCCTTTATTTTTTTTCTCCCTCCCTCTCTCCCTTTTTTCTCTTCTTTCTTTCTTCCTTCTTTCCTTCCTTCCTTCCAATTTTTTTTTTAAGCAGGGCATATTTGCCTATACCAGCTCTTTTCTACTCTTTCATTTTTCACAGTTCCTCAAAACCTTTAGCGATTCACTCTGTAAATTCTCATACTCAAGGTGCTATGTTACAATCTTAGTTGTGGGTGGGCATAGCCACCATTCCATGCGGGAGTCGAACCAGCAGCCTTGTTGTTAGGAGCACATGCTCTATCCACTGAGCCACCTGGGTGGCAGCTCAGCTCAAGGTGTCAAGTTCAGTATTAGTTGCGGGCAGGCATAGCCCATCATCCAACAGGCGGTCTTGTTGTTAGGAGCACTGCTCTCACCAGCTGAGCCATCCTGCCACCTGTTCGCAGCTCAGCTTGGGCGCAGCGTCACTGACCCATGTGGGAATCGAACCGGCGGCCCTGTTGCTCAGAGCTCACACTGTTAAGCTAACTCTTGACTAACTGAGCCACTTGGCTGGCCCTGAAAGTTTTCTTGAAGTTCCATATATACAATTGTAGAAAACTCCATATATTTCTTCATAATACCTAAAAGAGGTGTCTTAAACTTACCCCAAAAATTCAGGAATTATAGGGAAGTGTGAAGTCCTCAAAGAGCAAGAAGCTGCAATGAAAGCAATCTTCCCAAAACAGAGTCTGCAGGGTAAATCATCGGCATTTGTATAGAAGGATATGTCTTCTAAAAAATAGTTATTCATGTAGGTGCAATGCCTGGAAGGTTGGGAAAATTTTACAGTAAGTAACCAATTTTGTTAATCTCTTTGTAGGGAAGAAATTTTTATATTGTGAGCCACATAAGAGAATTAAGGAAGTACTGGAAGAAGAACTTTATATTAAGAGAGATGAATGCCACGTTAAAAACCTACCTGCAGGTAATCTCAGTGACAAATGAACTGTATTTGTGAAATGGATATGAAATCGCCTATTTGATGGCATAGTGATTATTTATTACAAAACCATGATGATCAAATGAAACACGGGTCTTTGGGGGAAATTCTTGAGCTAATTTTATAGTTATTTTGCCTATGTCCAAATAAACTGTTACAGTTAGAAAAAAAATGAGCTAGGTATCAGTATCTACATTGCTATTCCACATTTTTGGTGGAGTTACTTTTACCTAATGACAAACAGAATTTTTTCCCAAGTGCCTGAAAAGCACAATAACATCTTCAATATTTATCAGTCTATGTATGACCAATAACTAAGTGGTTCCCAAAGTTTAGATGTCATCAGAATTACCTGGGATCCTGTTAAAAGCAGATTGCTAAACCCCATCCCTAGAGTAACTGGTTCAGTATGTCTGGGATGGGGTTGAAGAATTTGCATTTCTACCAAGTTCCCAGGTGATGTTGAAGTCACTGGTCCAGGGACACCATTTTGCAAATCATTGACCCAGAAGAATCTAAGTCATTTAAATAGGTCAACTCATCCAAGGGTTTTACTGCACATACACATGGTGTATGAATTATATAATCTGGGCATTGATAGCTCTCACTGATGCTTCACTGAAAGAAGATGTGCTCCAAAAATTCCAGAGTCCTCACAGATGTTATTTCGATGCTTGAGCCCATCACTTTCACGGTGATTACCAGGTGCCTACTTCATACTCTTTAAATCATCAGGTTTTTATTGCAACCCTCACGGGTACCAGTATTGCTAGAAGAAATAAAAGAATTGTAAGACATGACTCCTAAACTCAGAGAACTTGACATTTTCTGAGGAGGATTGTTGAACACCTGGCAGGTAAGACCCAAATTCTTTAAGGATTCCTAAGAGCAGATGCTGTGGGCCCAGAGGTGCAGCATTTCAGACTCCATGATGTAATTTCTCTCTGTATGTTTCAAAATCAGCCATAGAAACATGTTTTAGGCTTTCTGTATCATCCACTCTTACAAAAGGAGAAACCAGCAAAATGGCCAATTTTGTTCATCTCTTGAAGGAAAGTTTAAAGTCTCGTTTGAATGTTATGAATGGATTCAGAATGACCTAATACTTGTTTCTCTGAAACCCAGCCTACATGCATCATTCCTCTGGTGGTTAAAACTATATATATATATATATATATATATATATATATATATATATATATATATATCTATATTTTGGGGGCCAGCCGAGTGGCGCATTGGTTAAGAGCTGGCTTGGGACGCCAGAGGGCCCCAGTTCGGATCCCACATATGAGGGCCAGTGACACCGCCCTCTACAGCTAAGATGCTGAACAACAGCTTAACCTGGAGCTGGGCTGCTGTGAGTCACCTCGACAGCGTAGGCTGCAGGCCCTGAGGCAGTGGGTTGCCATGGGCTACCGAGTGTAGCCAGCAGCCAGCGTGAGCGGTCATCCAGAAGCCGGCGACTGATCTGCCTCACCTGGGAAGAGCACAATGATGGTGCCAACTTGGGCCAGTGAAGCAACGTCCTCCACAAATAGGCTGAAGAACAAAAGGACAGCAACTTGTCTGTTCCCCTTACCCCAATTCTCCAGCGCTGTTCCCATCCCCCAATTACCCAATAAAAATCTTTAAACAAAATTATTTAAAATATATATGTATATATCTATATATCTATATATCTATATATATATATAATATTTTTTAAGTATATGCTATTATATTTTGGATTTACTTTTATTTATATACTTATAAATTTGTAAGTTCTAAACTAGTTGGATGCTGTATTATTCTTTTTGAACACATTTGATTATAAGACAGTCTAAGTGATTAGGAAATATCATTTGGTTAATAAAAATTTATTTTTCTAAGCAGTCTTTTCGAATACCTTAGAATAAAATGGATAATGCTTAGGTTGCATTTTATAACATCCACTAGAGGTCGCACAGAGGTGCTATTTTAGACTAGAAAAAAATTTTCAAAGCTGAGAATGGAATCTGTAAGGTTAAGTGTTGAAGAGGCTCTACTTATGGAAAACAGAAACTGCTATTGTTTTCTTCTTCTTCTTTTTTTAATTGGCTGGAAGCCACAAGTCCTTGTTCGCAAAAAGGAACTAGCGCCTAAAGAGAGCGCCATACTCTTTCAGCTTCGTCTGAGTGTTAGCAGCTCTGAGCCAGTCACTGGACCTTCTAGTGCAGGGTTTCAGGGACACACTCCTTTAAATATATGATGAAAGCTACGGCTTTTCTTCCTGGAAAACACAGCTTGTCACATACACCCAGAATTCTGCATAAAACTTTTAGGGACTCCTATGGCTCCTACAGATGTTAAGAGTTAGTACACTTGACCCATTGTCACCACTTCTTTACTTATCATTTGCTCCTTTACCCATTCCAGTTACACTTTTGCTTCTGTGAATACCGGGAAGCTCTTCTTTCCCAGTTTGCAAATGACTTTCCTCCTGAGGGTCAAATCCAATGATCTTGAAGTTCAAGTACAATTCACAAGCTCATCAAACTCAACTTCTCTGTAGCACCTAACACAATTGTTTCAGGTGCTACTCCTTCCCTGTAAAAACACTCTCTCAACTATGTATGGTCTCCAGATCACCATGAGCCAATGTCCAAGTTTTGCTCCTACCACTGTTTTTCATCTTTACTGAATGTTCTTCCTCCCAGCCTCTCAACTTTGTGCTACTGACTCCAAAATTGACACCTCTAGCCTCTGCTTTTCCTTTGAAATCCCGAAAGCCTACTTAACTTTCCATTTGGATGTCTAATAGGCCTCTAAAACTTATGTCTAGAACAGAGCTCTTGTTCTATACCCCAGTTTTTAACACCCCACTCTTCAATAGGTCTGCCCCATCTCAACATTGGGTACCACCATTCACTCGCTTGATTAAATCAAACACCTAAAAGTCAAGTCCTCGAACATCATATCCAGTCCATCCGGTAATCCTGTTGAATCTACATTTGAAATATGTCCCAAACCTCCCCAACTGCAACCTTGCCCAACCCTCCATCATCTCTTGCAGGCTCAGCGGTAATATCCTCTGACAGCTTCTACTGTTTCCCCTCACAGTCTAGTCTCTACACAGGAACCAGAAGAATCTCTCACAGACATAAATCATTGCACATCACCTCCAGGCTCAACACTCTCCAGTGGCTTCTTTTTTCTACAGATTTTATTGGGTAATTGGGGAAGGGAATAGTGTTGGGGAATTGGGGAAGGGGAACATTGTGTTTTTCTAGGACCCATCAGCTCCAAGTCAAGTTGTTGGAGGGCGCAAACTCAGTTCCAAGTCCAGTTGCTAGTTTCAATCTAGCTGTGTGTGTGGGGAGGAGGGGTGAGTGTCCAGCATCCCATGCAGGAGTCAAACTGGCAACCTTACTGTTAAGAGCACGTGGTCTCACCAGCTGAGCCATCCAGCTGCCTGTTGGCAGTTCAGCAGCAGCTCAGCTTGGGCGCAGCATCACTGGCCCATGTGGGAATCCAACCGGCAATGCTGTTGCTCAGAGCTCATGCTCTTAACCAACTGTGCAACCCAGCCAGCCCTCCAACGGCTTCTTGTTCTTAGTCTACATTTTCGTCTCCTTGTATGATGAGCTCACCTCTCTGAACTCTCTCTCATACTTTCTCGCTCCACTTTAGCCACACAGGCTTTCTTGATATTCTGGAATGTACCAAACCCATTCCCACCTCAGGACCTTTATGCCTCACCTGGGCCATCAAATGTCTTCCTTCCTCTTGATTCAAATTTCAATTCAAACGTCACCCTCTCAGGGGTAACCTCTCCACAAGGTTAAAATAGAAACTACTCTCTCTCCCAAGTTATTCTCTAATCCTTTATACTCCTTTCTTTCTGCTTTTTTCTATCACTCCCTGAAATGATATATTTATTTGTATACTTCTTTATTGGCTATCTTCCCCCCTAGAACATAAGCTCCCTGACGATAGGGGCTTTATTTTGCTTACCACAAATCCTCACAAAAACCACGTGATACAGATATTATGATCTCCATTTTATGAATGAGTAAACTGAGGTTTTGAGAGGTTTTTACTGTCCAAGATCATTAAGTAAGTGTCAAAACTGGATTCCAAATTCAGGTCAGACCCCAAATGCCGTTGACTTTCTACTCACTGCAGTGTCTCTGGTGACATGTTATGGTTAAATCCAGTGGATACTGCTGGATTGAGATTGCTGTACATTTGATATAGTTGATGGCTCTCTCCTTAAACCTTGTTGCTTTCTCAAATTCCTTGATACTAAAATGAAATGTCCTCATTCTTTCCTTACTTCTCTGGATATTCCTTCTCGTCCTCCTTTAAGAACATTTTTAATTAACTCCCACCCCCAAATATGGATGTTTCCTGAAGTGTTACCCATAGTCTTCTAATCTTGCTCTGTTAGCTCTTCCTGGTTCATCTCAACTATCCCCATAGTTTTCACCACAACACCACTGCGATGCCACGGAAACCTGTGTCTCCATGCTAAATTTCTCTTCCTAGATGTCCCATAAGTACTTAGGATCAACACGGCCAACATGAAACTCATACATCTCCCCCACTTGCTCCTTCCCATATGTTACCCATCCCAGTGAATGTTACTGCTTGATGTCCAAGTCTAAAACCAGAGAACCGTCCTCCATACCCACTCCAGATCACCATATCACACATCCCATTAGGCTATCAGGGGTATCTTCGTTTGACTTAGGATTCCAAGCTGTTGACTCCTATGACAGATTCATCTTGCAAGCATGTAGACCTATTGATTTGTATTTCTGCATTGTATTTTTAAAATACATGAACCAGTTGTCAGCATTTAAAACATCACGACCTTTTACATATAAATCTAGATTTCTAGATTATTTTGGGTGAATAGAAAGGAGGGGGAGGATAAAGGAAAATGTGGCAACAGAGTTAACATTCACACCTGGCAGCAGTGACAAGTTGGGTTACCTGTCACTGCTGGCCTGCCTAGTTTA